AGGGTGGGGGGGGGGGGTGGATGAAGTAAAGGTGAGTGCCAGAGTGCTGCAGCTTTGGCTCAACACATGCATCACTTCCCTAGCGTTCAAACTTTCATCACTCAACTCCATTCAGCCTGTCATAATAGCAGCTTTATGTTGCATTTAGGCTGTTTTCGTCAACATTTCTTGAAACGGTTTACTGGAGGTTAGGCAGTTATTCATTCCATTACTCTCCGAGTACCATTTAATGTTTAAGTACTGTAGATTTTTAAAGTTAATGCTCCTAGATTTTGCACTGAATGTTCTTAGTGTTTTTGTCCCATCTACTCAAGTAACAAAACCACAAGAGCAGACTGATCAGACTGATCAGAACCAAACTGTTCTTTTGCGTGTACTTTTCTTTTTTTCAAATGCTTTTAGTGCTTTAGCAAGAAAAGGTTACAGCATCAATTTAGTTTTACTACAAAAGCTATTTGTGTTGCGTTGGAGGTAAGCTCTTCTTCCTGTGCCATTGTCACAGCTGCTGTCATGAGAATGGTTTACTTTATCACATCATGGGATCATCTTTATGTGCTGTTTGCTTACAGATGCTTATCAGATAAACGGGCTTAACAGCAAACACTCCTCGTCTGGAGATGCGCATGAAAGCTGCTGGAGCCACACTTCAGTGAATCCTTGACGCCAAGTGTGACAACTATAGATGCAAGAACCAGAGCACACACTGCTATCCAGGGCAGCCCTGAGAGCCAGAATCACTTACTCTATGCTCTCTCATGGGCTTCTGGACACAAATGACAACAGCTTTGTTCGTGTGGGTCTTGCTTGAGAGTCATGCATGATAGATGAACTATAAAGAGATTCAAGAAACTCTCCACCAAACAGGAGAACTGACAGAGGCCTCTCTTAGATGTGTGATGATCACCAAGAATGAAAACAGTAAATCTAGTTGCCTTTCATGTTTTATAGTGCTTTTAGGTGACAGCAGTTGCATGGGTGTGTTGTGGCATGAATTATTACTGATAGGAGTTTAACTGCATTTTAAAAAAATCATATAAATTAAAAAGTTTTGTCAAGCTTGTACTGTCAGAAAGTTTGCTTTGTGATGGATTGTATTACTGTAAAAATTACCGGTTACTCACTGTGTCTGTTCAGTTAACAGCATGCAGATTGTGACAAAGCCAGATAGTCACTGAACAGTGAGATGGTGCGACAGGACGCAGTGTCATCAGACCCAAGTCATCACTTGGAATTTGGCAGTGGCTGAATGCAGTCTTATATTTCCCCAGCTCTCAGTGGTTACTTTACCCGTCCTTGTCCAAGCTTGTGCTCATTTCACAATGAATGCACAATTTGATGCAAAGTTTCAAGATCGCCCAGTTCTCAAATGCACCATTTATTTCTGACTGAGCAGTTGCATCTCTCATTTAGTTGAGCATCGGATGTTTACTTTATTGCTCTTCAATTATGTTCTGTAGCCAATGTGTTTTCATCCTACTGTTTGGTATTGATGGCGGCATGGTGACACAGTGGTTGGCACTGTCGCCTCACAGCAAGAAGGTCCCGAGTTTGAGGTCAGACCGACCCGGTTCCTTTCTGTGTGGTGTTTGCATATTCTCGGTTACTCCAGCTTCCTCCCACAGTCCAAAGACATGCAGCTTAGGTTGATTGGTGACTCTAAGTTGCCCGTAGGAGTTGCCCCTCCCCCGTGACCCTCGTTAGGATAAGTGGTATAGATGATGGATGGACGGATGTTTGGTATTTACATACTGGCTCTTGGCCACTTTTGCTTTTCCTTATATTATTGATTTATGTGTGGCCTTGAACTCACTGTTTTGGAGATGAATAGCTGCTCAACAATGAATTGGGCCCCTGGTCTCTGACAGTGGATCAACCACTAAATCAGTGAGCATTCACTACTTCCTCTTTTTCTATAGAATCTCATTTTCAGCATGAGCTATATGTGTGTTGCTGACTTTTCTTTTTAAAAAAGCCATCACTGACACCCAGAACCTTTTATGTAGGTTGTTCTCTGGCTCTTGAGGAAAAAGCGTTGGCTTCTACATGAAAACTGTTCGTTCATGATTGGCATGGAGCCTTGAATGTGCGCATTAGCATGACTCTGTTGCATTATCAATTCTAAAGAGATGGGCACATGTTAAATATTTTTACTAGTGGAAGCCAGCCACCTGTTACTGTTGACTGTAAGTCTGCAGTACAAGCCAGAGCCCTTTGCGGGTCCTTTGATTCAAGGCTAATTTGATTTGCAAAGTGTTCCTTACCTGTGTTTTGTTTGCACAGCCCTTTGTACATGATCATGTTTTCTGGTGCAATAATGCTTCCTAATGTTGTAAACAAAAAAGATATATATATTTCACTATGTGAAATTTATTATACATTAACGTATCAAAATAAGCATGTGCACATGGATCTTCACTGTTTAGGATAAACAGGAAAGACTGCCCTCAACTTGCCAGTATACAATATTTATATGAAAAGATGTTACTATCTGATTGGTCCAAAACTGTTGGGGAGAAGTCGTGGTTTAAACTTAACTCTCCCGAGGTTGGTCCTTCAGTCCGTTCGTCCTCCAATCATCCTCTCTGCTCCAATGGTTGTGGACAGCGCCCTAAAAGGGGAGGAATACCTACCCTTTCTTAATTTCTACATAGGCACTTGCGTCTTCCTTTGTTTCCAACTAACTGCTAGATTTCAGGCATTGCTTTCCAATAAAACTGCTCTGCCTGTGTGTGTCTGTATATTGCCCTGCCTTTGAAGTTGTCTCCCTCTTCCTGACTTTTAGATCTAGTCTCTTGTTTATTACCCTTGGTGTCCCTGTGACCCCAAATTCCCTGGCCTCTTCAGCCAGGTGGTGATAAGAAATTAACTGTGTGACCCACGTCAGTGTTTTAGTGAACCAGTCCCCTTGATGTTAAACAGTGCTCCAGTTGGCTAACACAGTAAATACTGACCAGTGATTCAGTGAACACATAGGGTGATATGTAACTACATAAACACAACTGTGAGATTAAAGTATATAGACTTATGTATGCTATATAATAAAAACCCCAACTAATTATATTCATTTCTATCTAAAAATGAAAATCACCCTAACAAAACAGTGTTGTATTAACTGGAGTGCTGCCACTACATTTGATGAGAGCATGTTTTACAGTGCACAGAGGAAGGATAACTTGCAGAAACACTGCATCTGAATCAAATAAGCGAACGAGTGGAGTCCATGGGGTTGTCCTTGGCTTACTGTTCTCTTCGGGGCTGGTTGTTGTTTGATATAGCAAACCTGGATTTGATTGTGTCCTTGGATCCCGTGTACTTCCTTTTTCTCACCTTTTCTTCCTCCCACTCTCACCCCTTTAATCCTCTGGCAGCCAGGTTTATCCAGTCCTGCTCAAGGAGTGTCGGTGTGTGCCCAGTGAGAAGGGGATGGTAGATTTGACAGCCATACTGAGGTGTGAACATGGCTGCTCATGCATGAGCATTATGCAACACTGTTGGCTCCCTGCTGTAGACAGGACTAGAGAGAGAGGTTTCAGCATTACGGTGATGAATTTGGCCTTTATTTTGTGTTGTTTGATTACTAGTTGGAAGCAGAATATTGTGTAAACTAGAGTTATGTAGGTGGCATTTTAGTTTCCACATGCATGAATTAGAGCTCCAAGTGTTTGAGGCTTTGATCTATTCTCTTGTCAGCAACAGACTTTGGGCAGCTCACAGTGCAGGTGGCTGTAATTAACAGGTTCTCTGTAACCCATCCAGGATCAGATGTTCATGGTAATCTGTCCCTTCAGCCCACATGTACAGCAGATCCCCTGCCTGGTTGGTGTCACTGCTTTCAATGAAGCGGGCTGGAAATGATGACAAAAAAATTTGGCAACGCTTATTGTGCCGCAGCATAATTTACACCTTAGTACTTGAACAACAACCTTGTTAAAAATGTTTTCAGGCATTTTCTGTCTTCACCACTGCTCATTTTCTACCCATTTTTCCTCTTTGGCTGAAAGTAGAGATGGCCTAGGATAGAGAGAGCGGGTGAGCAAACAACCTAAACAAAACCCCTGACTTAATGTGGTGTTTTAAAATATAGTTAGTTAGTAATAACAGTAGATGGGTCCTTCAAGTAGAGGTGACGGCATGCATTGCTGAAAGGTGTCGCACACGTAAAGCATATTTGATTAGGGTGGCTCAAAGCGGTTGCAGAGCCCAGAAACAGTGGGAGACCCAAACTTCTCACCTGTCCAGGTGTCCATCAGCCCAGTCATGGGCAAACATGTTTCCATGGAGTTGTGGTTGATTGAAGTATGAACAGACGGGCTGAACAGCTGACTACAAGAGTACCTAAAGTACAGTTCCCCTTTCAGACGTTAGGTTTGTGCTGACTTGCCATCTGCATCGTGACAGCGCAACTCGACCCATAAGTCTGATGAGCATGGCATTTTCCTCCTGGTTGCCCACATTTATTCCTTGTTTTTCATTGATGAGTAATCACTTAGGAGAGAAGAAATAAAGTTTTAGTTATCACACAATCACCATTTTGGTTCGTTGACCTTGTCATACTTTTGCCCCGTCTTTCAATTATTAACTTGTGCTCACCACTTTCCAGCAGAGTGATTTTCAAGTCTTTTTAATTTCACAGTCGAAATTCTAATCTTTTAATTCTTGACCTCTGGGTGGAATTTATGCCTCTATTTTTTGTTTTGTTTTTGTTTTTGTTTTTGGCCACTACAAATTCGTTGTGGTCATTGTAGATTTGTCACACCCAAAATAACAATACACCATAAAAGCAAATTTCTTGTTTTCATTGATTTGATTCTACATCTCTTAGGTTTCAGATGGTGGTTCATATTTTGATTTATTTAAATTTTTTTGTTTTTAGTTCAAATTGACTGGACCGGTTCAGTGCAGAAGAAGTATGCTTTTTTTTTTTTAATTTACATGTCCTGCCTTCCCTTTCTCTCTCTATCTTTTCCCATCTCCACCCCCTCTGCTATTTTCTCCTCCAGCTTGGCGGTGATGAGAGAAGAGTAGACAGTAGGACTATCTATGTTGGCCGTCAGCCGGGTTCTACCAATGAGGCTTTCATCCCACCTAAGTTCTGTGATAACAGGATTGTCTCCTCAAAGGTAAGCAGCCCATTCAGGGCTCCAGTCTGGATATATACTAAGATGAAATTCATATATCTCTGTTTGCTTCTTAAATTCTCTATATATAATACTTTAACTGTCATCAGGCATTGTTCTTTTATCTTGGAATGCAAAATGATCTTTGAACAACCCTGAGTGTTCCCAGGTCTTCATTTCTTTATTCCACCTCCCACTGCCTTTCCACATTCTTGTCTTTGCTCCCAGTGGAAGGTGATTATTTGTCTGTCAGGGGAGCACAGGCAGTGGCAGTGAAATACATGGCTGCTAATAATGTACAAGCAGGGTGAGCAGTTTGGTCGTTTTCCCCTGGGCTCTAATGGACCGAGCCCCCTCCCTCACCTAAATCCCTCACCTCAGTCTTGTGTCAGCAGCCGTTTGAAGTAGGTGCTGTCTGGCCAGCTTATGAATATGAAAGATTAAAGTTATGAGGATAAGGAAGCTGTGTGAAAGTAAGACAGCAGTGGGATTTATAGTGGCACAGAGGATCCCGATGAGGACGGGCCGATCAATTGGCTCCTGCCAGTATGTCAGGGTAAACAGTCTTTAATTACCCCTGGTGTAGTGTTTATACTCCATGCCTCTGCTCTCCATCATCTTGTTGCTTGTGCAATCTGCAGTGACCAATCTCTGCCTCTCCTCTTTTGCTCTTGTTGCTACTGCTCCACCACACATAGCCACCTTCACCGCTGCCGCCCCCCCTTTTCTCATTACTTTTCCTCTCTCTTTTGTCTTTGGCAAAATGAGATGGGTCATTCTGCTGTCGCTGCATTTCAGCACTCTTCCCATGTGGGCATTCTCCTTCATAAACAGTGCCTTATTGCTGTTTCTGTGCTCATGCATGCATTTATGTTTTTCATCCTGGATTTTGTTGTGTTGCACAAAGTTATCAGCAGGATTTTGTCGAACCGTCTCTCAGGGATTTAAGTGGATAAAAGTATTGCTTCAACCCTGATGGTATCAGTCATGGCCACTTAAAACAAGGACAAATCCCAGAGAGAGAGTACCGGTCTAAGATTATATGGCTCTACATCCTAGGGTAGCCAAATTCAGGAAATAAACTGTTACCTGAATGAGCGGAGTACCTGTGGTCATCCAAGGGTTGTCTCTCCAGGCACTACAAAGAACAGACTTGAAGCTGTTGAAGTTACCTATCCTTTTACCCTTTCCAGCTCAGACAGAATACACATATATTGAATGTTTCTAATCTCTCTCCCCTCACCAAGCCCGTCTTTAACCTCTCTAAGTTAATTGAAAAAAAAAATTACAGTGAAGAGCAGCAAAAAGCAGTCCTTCAATACCAGCTACCTATTGTGTTTTCTATCTGTGACTTGTATGCATGTTTATTTTTCTCTCCCCCATCACAGTATACAGTTTGGAACTTTCTACCAAAGAACCTGTTTGAACAGTTTAGACGAATTGCCAACTTCTACTTTCTTATCATCTTCCTGGTGCAGGTAAGGACAGACCTTGACACTGTGCCAAACCACAGTTAGTTGATCATTGTGAAATAATGAAATCATGGATACCGGTTTTGTCAGTGACTGTGGTGTTGTGAAACAAGTGTAGTCAGGGTTCGTATGAGCGTACCCAGACAACACTATGAAGCAGGTGTTACCCTGCTAAAGATCAATGTGAGTGGGTCAGTGCGCTTCGTCCAACTTGGCTTCACACCCTGTGCTGTGTAAACCTATACGATGTATGCAACCTGTGTGTGAAAGTAGAGAGTGTGAGAAGTGTGTCTGTTTGCAAGCAGTAATACCATTTCTGGGTGTGTGAACTGCGCAGCATGTTTGAAGTTGTTTAAATGTTTACAAGGAGGTGCGGAATTGCTAAGGCTTCCCTTAAGGCTTGACCTGTGTGTGTGTGTGTGTGTGTGTGGACGTGTTTTTCCTGCTACATGGGGACTTCTTCCTGACTCCATACCAACTCATGAGGACCCATTTCACGGTGGGGGCCTAAATTGAGGTCCCCATGGGCAAGAAATTGAATTTTAGGGTGGCAACATGGGTTAGGGTTAGGTTAAGGTCAGGGTTAGGGTTAGGCAAGTAGTGGTTCTGGTTAAGGTTAGGGTTAGTTTACAGGAAATGCATGCAAGTCAGTGTAAAGTCCCCATGGACTGCGAAACATAAACTGTGTGTGTGTGTTGTTTTTTTTTTTATATAGATGTTTTCTTAAGAGACAGAGTTCCTGACTCACTCTGCTGGTTGTTTAACATTCTGCAGTCTGTGCACTTCTCCTGTATTACTGGCTTTTGTTTTTTTTTTTTTAAAAGAACAACGGGAAATAAGTGAATCAAGTGGAAATTTTAAATATATAAAAGCAAACAATATTTACATAATATACACACTTGTACATTCATATTTTGCCTCCTTTAAAACAATATTACCCCAAGAAAGTTGAGCTGTGTCACTGTCACCTCCAAATCCAAGGCCATGGTTCTCAGTCGGAAAAGGGTGGCTTGCTCCCTTCAGGTTGGTGGGGAGTTCCTGCCTTAAGTGGAGGAGTTCAAGTATCTTGGGGTCTTGTTCACAGGTGAGGGAGGGATGGAACGGGAGATTGACAGGCGGATCAGTGCAGCTTCTGCAGTAATGCAGTAGATGTACCGATCTGTCGTGGTGAAGAAGGAGCTGAGCTGTAAGGCGAAGCTCTCGATTTACTGGTCGATCTACGTTCCGACTCTCACCTATGGTCATGAACTTTGGGTCATGACCGAAAGGGCAAGATCCCGGATACAGGCGGCCGAAATGAGCTTCC